CATTTGTATCTTTGGGGTAAATACCCAGTAGTGCAATTGCTGGATCATATGGTAGCTCTATTTTTCAACTTTTTGAGGAACCTCCATACTGTTTTCCCGAGTGGCTGCACCAGCTTACATTCCCACCAACAGTGTAGGAGGGTTCACCTTTCTCCGCATCCCTGCCAACATCTGTCGTTTCCTGACTTATTAATTTTAGCCATTCTGACAGGTGTGAGGTGGTATCTCATGGAGGTTTTGATTTGGATTTCCCTGATGCCGAGTGATGTTGAGCACTTTTTCATGTGTCTGTTGGCCATTTGGATGTCTTCTTTGGAAAAATGTCTGTTCGTGTCTTCTGCCCATTTCTTGATTGGATCATTTGTTCTTTGGGTGTTCAGTTTGATAAGTTCTTTATAGGTTTTGGATACTAGCTCTTTATCTGATATGTCATTTGCAAATATCTTCTCCCATTCTGTCGGTTGTCTTTTGGTTTTGTTGACTGTTTCTTTTGCTGTGCAAAAGCTTTTTATCTTGATGAAGTCCCAATAGTTCATTTTGCTCATGCTTCCCTTGCCTTTGGCAATGTTTCTAGGAAGAAGTTGCTGTGGCTGAGGTCAAAGAGGTTGCTGCCTGTGTTCTCCTTTAGGATTTTGATGGACTCCTGTCTCACATTTAGGTCTTTCAACCATTTTGAGTCTATTTTTGTGTGTGGTGTAAGGAAATGGTCCAGATTGGAAGAGCAAATATTGTGAAGATGTCAATGCTACCTAGAGCAATCTACACATTTAATGCAGTCCCCATCAAAATACCATCCACTTTTTTCAAAGAAATGGAATAAATAATCCTAAAATTTGTATGGAACCAGAAAAGACCCCAAATAGCCAGAGGAATGTTGAAAAAGAAAAGCAAAGCTGGTGGCATCACAATTCCAGACTTCAAGCTCTATTACAAGGTAGCATCATGAAGACAGTATGGTACTGGCACAAAAACAGATACATAGATCAATGGAACAGAATAGAGAGCCCAGAAATGGACCCTCAACTCTATGGTCAACTAATCTTCGTCAAAGCAGGAAAGAATGTCCAATGGAAAAAAGACAGTCTGTTCAACAAATGGTGTTGGCAAAATTGGACAGCCACATACATCATTAGTTTTTGATGTAGTGTTCTGTGATTCTTTGTTTGCGTATAACACCCAGTGCTCCCTATCCTTGAAATTTTGAAGAAACCCATCCCTAAAACTATTTGGATCTGGCATAATGGGAGATCAGGGGTCAGGAATACATTTGGGCAGGTAGAGTAGGCTGTTTTCTTGGTATTCCTCTCTCCAAACCAAAGATTAAATAAGTAAATAAGATAGGCTCTTAGATTCCTTATTTTCAGTGCTTTTGCTAACATTGTTAGACCCTCTAATTGTTTCTGGAAATATACAGAAAATGGCTAACATAGCAGGACTGAACTGCTATCTTTAGGAAGTCCTGCTTGCAAGGTTGGCCCTTGTCTGGCATCTAGATGGAAACTTAGAGTTTAGAAGGATTCCTGCCATCAATTGATAAGAGTGGCTCACTTAAGCAGTTTGTGCAAATACTGTGGTTTATGTTGAACACTACTCTCCTTCTGGGAGTCTAGAATTTGGATACTGCCAGACAGGGGCTACCTATTGTGACAGCATCCATTATAAATACTCAGGGCATTGAGTCTCCAACAAGCTTCCTGGTTGGCAACATTTAACATGTGTTGTCACAACTTGTTGCTGGGGGAATTAAGCACATCCCATGTAATTCCACTGCGAGAGGACCCTTGGCAGCTTATGTCTGGTTCTCAGACTTTGCCCCATATGCTTTTTCAAAACCTTTACTAATTTTGCTTTGTATTCTTTGACTGTAATAAATCACAGTCATGAGTACAATCATATGCTGAGTCACGAGAGTTCATATGTCAGGCCAAAACAGTGATATTAAAAGTCAGTGGCAGAGTTATAAAATATAACTTTAAAAAAATCTATAACCATGTCATTACAGGTGTGGAAACAATCTCATGGAAGTTAGAAAATTTGTCAGGGATCACATATGTTGACAGTGATAGAATAAATTTTAAAGCTTAAGAAACAAGTCAATAAACAGTTGTACTCCATGAACTTTAACATTTTTTCGAATTTTATTTGCCAAATTAAAGTTGGAGGTTTAAAAAATTAACTTCATTAATGTGTGTTTCTAAAATGTGCTTTTTAAAATACAGGTAGGTGGACCCAAACTATTACTTTGTAGTTAAGCTCTGGCATCTGGCAAAAGTATTTTCAAATATTTTCTGCTTATGAGCTGTGGCCTTGGTAATTTTGTTGGCACCATTTGCCTCTTTGCAATAAGATTCAAAATGGAATCAAATCCTCAACATATTTTCTCAGTGGATATTTTGTTTGTGTATTTGTGCATCTGAATAAGGTATGTGACTACAACAACGGATTCTAAGTCAGTGGTTCCTTTTCAGCGTGGTCGTTAGAATCCCTTCGGAAGAGTGATTCCATATTCCAGGCCAACTAAGTCACAATTTCTGGTGTGGGGTCCAAGCGTCTTTTTCTGCCCCTTTTTTTAAAGCTCCGCATGTGATTCCAATGTGTGTAAGCTCATTGACAATCACTGGTCTAATTAAAATTATTTCTATATGCCAATAAAAATTGTATTTATCCCATAGTAATTGGCTGTTTTCTATACCTGGCAATATTCACTTTATATCTTCAATTGGAAAAACATGATTAAAATGTAAATTTAGCAAAAAAAAGTTGTATGTATTAAGTACAGATCTGGAGAACCTATTAAGGTACATATTTATATATATAATATTGATGTTTATTATGTATCAGTTGAAGAATTATAAATTTACCTTTGAGCTAGTTAACCATAAATCAATCATTTCTCATCAAGAGTCATTTCATCTCACTTAAGACCTGGATGAAATTGTAAATGAATATTATACCAGACAATATATTCACTGGGTATATGCAATGCATTTCTTCAGGCAGGGAAAGAGTCTGTTTTGTTTAGAGCCATGCACCATCACTGAAATATGGGATAGTGATGTGAGAGTTCATGTTGAAGGGGAATGAGGTTTGGAAGTCAGGCACCAGTAGATTTCAGAATTTCATGGCTGACACAGGAAATGACCACATTATTTTGAACACCAATTGGGTAACCCAGCCAGAAACCAAAACAAAAACCAGAAACAGTCTGATCCTTTGTCTAGAGTACAGCCAATCTTTGATCATATGTTAGATAGAGCAGGGTTTGGCAAACCGTAGTCCTGAGAGGTAAATCCATCCCTTTTCAGAAAATAGTTTTATTGGAATATAGCCATGCTCATTCATTTACTTATTGTCTATGTCTGTTTTTGGCTCCAGTGGTCTATGCAGAGACCATATAGCCTGCAAAACCTAAAATATTTACTATCTGACCCTTTGCAGGAAGTTTGCCAACTCCTATATTAGACTGTTATATCATGCACTAAACAATTGAATCATGCATTGTTTGCTGACATTCCTAAATAGATCCTCTTAAGCTGAGTTTGGTCTTTCTACACAGGTGACTGGAGATGATTCGGTTTTTAAGGCTTTCAAATGGAGATTGTAGTTGAAGAAGAGGGATTTGCCTTGGGGAGTATGCTGCTATCCCTTTGATGCTACTTCTGTAGGGGGCCAGGAGCTTGTCCATTTACCTGGGGTGGGTGTCTCCTTGCCTAACTCATGCTCCATGTCCCTCTATGTCACAGTCCTTGCTGTTCCTCTCTCTGTTGGGGGTGGACATTGAGTAGCATGTAACTGGGGAACCTGGACCGAAAGGATTTTTCACTGCAGATTCTGGGGGTAAAGGGATAAAATTTTTCATACACCTTGCTAATAATGGATCTAGATGTGGAAGTTTAAAGATTAAGAGTGATTTAAGCTTTAATCGTGGTCCAAGTGGACAGTTCAAGAAGGTGTGGAGGTCTAGTGAAGAAGGCACATCTGTCTCATTTCCCCTGGTCTCTGGTGCAGTAGAGGAGTGGCAATAAAGGGGTAGCTGGCACATCTCTGAGCTGTCAGCCACGTCTTCACCTGGGGCACCTGAAAGCCAGTGAAGGCTCCTACCCACTTGCTGGGTTACTTACCCTTGAAAAAACAGTACCTGCAAATACTGGAGAGATTGAAGCATATGACCACTTTTAGCTTTCAAAGGACATAACTCCCCTTTCTAACATATAAGGCTGTTAATCATGTTTCAATTAATGTTTCAATTTTTAGTTATATCTGTAGAAAAGCATTGCATACAAAAGCAAAGAAGTGCCTGTAAATAAGTTGAAATGTAATGATGTTGTGGTAAGCACAGGCAACCTCATATCAGAGCTGCGAGTTTGAATTAGAAGATACAGTCTTAAGAAACATATTGGGGTTATTCTTTTTTTTCAGGGGGGTTAAGATTTCATTAATAAATGTCAGGCTATTTTTGTGACTCTAGAAGATTATAATTTTTTGGAAGATTTATAATTTTTTAAGATCTTTTCAGACGAAATCCTCTGAAGGTATTTGGAATCTGATGATTTAGTTTATTCTGCTTATGATTTAGGTCTAGATCTATGCCCAGATGACTCTCCTGGGGATAGTTATACCCAACCTCATTAAATAGGTCTGTGCTACAAGAGGAGTTCTGGTTGTTGATTTTCCTCTTCCTGAGGTACTGAGAAATAGGGGACCTGTAACGGGGCACGATTTTCTAGAATATGATGGCTCCAAGTGCTGTTTGTGTTGGAAGACCTGGCATGTTTGTTTTCCTAGTGTGATAAGATACTGAGGGGCCTGGAGTTCATGAAGTCAGGCTGAATTACTTCCGAGAATAAATTGGTTGATAAAGATGCAAGTAATGATGCAGTCTCTCTCATGTGATTTGTTTTAAAGTAGTTTAAATTCTTATTTAGCTATGTTTATGGTATGTGATTTTCTAAGTGTACTTCCCTCCCCCCACTAATTCTTATCCCTTCTTTATGTCCTAGATCAACGACTATCACCTTTTCTACAAGATGAGTAACAGCCACCCTCTTCGCCCCTTTACTGCAGTGGGGGAAATTGATCATGTGCACATTTTGTCTGAACATATTGGTGCCTTGCTGATTGGGGAAGAATACGGCGACGTCACATTTGTTGTGGAAAAGAAACGTTTTCCTGCCCACAGGGTAATTTTAGCAGCGAGGTGCCAATATTTTCGGTAAGTGTATATTACTTTTTGCAGATTCAAGTCACTTGTGGAAAACACTGGTATTTTTCTCCTCTATGAAAAATATGTAACAAAGCATAACAATAAATTCTTGCAATCTCTGAATTCAACCTCTACAAATATGGAATATTTGTAGACTTTTTGTTAGTTTTTTTTTCCCCTCCCAGCCATCTAATCCTACTCCCCAGAGACAACCTCTGTTAACAGTGTAAAATGAATTTCCCCTGATTTTTCTCAATATAAATAGATACATCTCTCTATACCTATGTGCAACATATGGTGCAACAAATCCCATGCAACACATCTGGGTCTGCAACTTGACTTACATACTATATCCTGGATATCTTTCCAAGACTGTGTACATTGATCTCCTTTATCTCTGTAATAGCTGCACAGAAGTATATATCCGTTTTTAAAATTATGTTTCTGTTGATGGACATTTAAGATTTTTTTCAGTGTTTCCATTGTTTCTTTTTTTTTTAAAGACTTTATTTATTTGTCAGAGAGAGGGAGCACAAGCAGGGGGAGCGGCAGAGGGAGAAGCAGACTCCCTGCTGAGCAGGGAGCCTGATGCGGGACTCGGTCCCAGCACGCTGGGATCATGACCCAAGCCTAAGGCAGACACTTAACCAGCTGAGCTGCCCAGGTGGCCCTCCATTGTTTCACTATATATTCTTATACATATATCTTTACTTTGCTGTATTATTTCTCTAGAATTGAGTCCTAACAGTGAAATTACTAAGTTGAAGGGTATGCCCATTTTAGATTTGAATAGAAATTACTTAAATTACTTTCCCCAAAGGGGTGCCTATTTATGGGCTCAAAGTGGTACATGAGGGAACCTGTTATTCCATTGCCTTTGTAGTACTGAATAGTTAACAGGATTTTTAATTTCTGCCAGTCTGACAGGGTAGAATGGCACCTGATTGGGTATAATTGTTTTTATCTGATTATATCTTTTCCTACAGAGTTTTACTTTTTAAACCACCTATTGACCTTTAATATGTTTATATGGGTTTCACTGTTTCTTTCAAAAGAGCACTTTGATCTTTCTGCTTAATGAATGTTTATTACATATTTGAGCTCTCAGGATATTTCATTAGTCCAGTTGTTTATAGAATTAATCCAAAATAGTTTATAAATTATTTTTCTTTCTTTAGAGAACTATTTAAAATGATTACTATGCATTTCTTCACCTGAATCTTTGTGTCATTAAACAAATTTATGTTTGCAAGATGCTGATAAGCATGATTTCATAATATTGTAGCAACTCTTATTTGAGGTTTTCCTCATGCACTTCTTCTCTGATGTGCAGAGCATTACTGTATGGTGGGATGCGAGAATCTCAGCCCGAAGCAGAAATCCCTCTCCGAGACACCACTGCAGAAGCGTTCACGATGCTGCTTAAGTACATCTACACGGGGCGGGCAACACTGACAGATGAGAAGGAGGAGGTGTTGCTGGACTTTTTGAGCCTGGCTCATAAATATGGATTTCCAGAGCTGGAGGATTCTACCTCTGAGTATCTCTGCACCATACTTAACATTCAGAATGTCTGCATGACTTTTGATGTTGCCAGCCTCTACTCGCTTCCCAAGTTAACTTGCATGTGCTGCATGTTTATGGACAGAAATGCTCAGGAGGTGCTCTCCAGTGAAGGCTTCCTCTCCCTTTCTAAGGTGTGTCGACATCTGCAAGTACTTTACAGGCATGCGGTGCGTTACTTAGATCCGTGCAGTAGGAAGAGAGCCATAGACTAAGAATAAAAAAATAAAAACCATCGGTCTGGAAGAGGTCATCTGTCTAGCCACCCGCCTCCGGCTGCTGAGACTCTATGTAGATCATATAAAAGAGAGACAAATTGCTTTTGTTTTCTTTTTTAAGATTCTTCTGGTAGGTTCTATGCAGAGTGGTGTTTTCCAAGTGATGCCTGTCAAGTTCCTTTGTGGTGTTGCATACTGTTTTTTGGTTTTGTATCTCTCCAACAGAGAGGTGCAACTAATAACTCCTTATTGTGGAGGGAAAATTCATAAAGGAGATCTGAGGTGTCATTGGATGTTTTAAGTCACTGCTTTTTTTTTTTTTTTTTGCTGGCTCAAAAAAATAGACCATTTTGCCCAAATCTTTCTCTGAACCCCGGTCTCTCCTTTCCCCCTTTTGTTCTTCTGAGGACCTGAATATTTCAAATGAGAAAACCTATTTGAAAAGCTACATATTTTGACCTGAGTGTAAACTATGATTTTTACTATCCTACTTAATTTTTTGGAGGCAAGGTCTTTGAGGGTTACCCCAGTGTTGCTGGAGGTCAGTCTGGAAATCTGAGAACCAGAAATATGGGAGTGCAATAATACCGTGGAACAAAAGATTTCAAATTTTAAATGCCAGATGTATCTTACTGACTTATAAATGTAAGCTCTCCTGGAGAGCCTGCATGGAATGACAGCTCCTCATATTGCCATTTTTCTTCTTGTTTTATTGAAGATAGGTGCACATGTGTGGGAAAGACTAGACATTTGATGTAGTGGTACTAGATTCCCATGGCTGTTCATGGAGCCGTGACGGGCAAGAGAGTACATGGCACAAAGATTAAAGAAAGAAGATGGTTGAAGAGAGTTGTTGAGATATAAGTGATCCTCACAGTTCTGTGAGGTTTTGCTGATTAATCGTGCACATGGCTGAGCTCCGTAATGACTGGAATTTTTTTTTTTTATCCTTTTCAGACAGCACTTTTAAACATCGTATTAAGAGATTCATTTGCAGCCCCAGAGAAAGATATTTTCCTAGCCTTGTTAAATTGGTGTAAGCACAATTCAAAGGAGAATCATGCTGAAATCATGCAGGCTGTGCGTTTGCCTCTGATGAGCCTCACTGAACTTCTGAACGTTGTGAGGCCTTCAGGACTATTGTCTCCCGATGCCATTCTGGATGCGATTAAAGTTCGATCAGAGAGCCGGGATATGGACCTCAATTACAGAGGCATGCTCAGTGAGTACCTGTTTATCCTCATCTCATGAAGATGTTTTCTCCCTCGTCTGGACAGTCTCAGCTACGAAATGAGCTACAAAACTCTAGTTGCAGGTATATGTGGTATGTGTGGGTCTAAGAACATATAGCTCTGCTTCCTCTTATTCTCCTCTTGATTCCCCCAGAGATTGTTGAGCCTTTGTAGACTCCCAAATAGGTATTTCTTGCCATTCCTGGACAGATTTCTTCAGCTGTTCCCTAGAAAATCAGAAATAGACACTTCCTGAAAAGCTTCTTCTCATGCTAAGACCTTCTCCATCAAATCAGCACTGAGTATATGCTATGTACTTATTATAATTTTAGGTACTGTGAACATGGAGATTCTAAATAATAGTAGTATTTAACACTTGTGTTACATTTCCAACACTTACGTGATCTTATTAATAAAAATAATAGCAATTATGAAGTGCTTATAAAGTGCTTGTATGTATCAATAACAGTTCTACATGATCATTTAATTCTTAAAACAGCCTTTTGAAGTTGGTACCATTATTGTCTCCATTTTACAAATGAGGAAACTGAAGCACAGAGAGGTAACTTGCCCAGCATCACACAGAAAGATGCGGAGAGGAGAGGCAGACCTGTTTAGGTCAGCTGTGTAATGAACCACTAAGTTATGATGGGCAAATGCAAAATATAGTCTCCACCTTTGATCCTTTTAATATCCTTGCGGAAATAAGACATATACTCCCATGAAAAGTTAAGTACAACCATGTCAAAGGTGAGCACGTGCTGTGAATTTCGGAAGAGGATATGGCTTAGAAGGATTGAGGGAGATTTCATGGAGATTATGAAGCCTGAAGTGAATCCTGACCTTGGATATGAGTGGCATCGGGTGGAGTGTGTTCTGATGGGAGGACTGGTTACGTTTGACAGACAAGGTAGAGCATTTGAAGGATCAGGAACAGAAGAGGTGGACTAGAGCAGAAGGCTTGCATTCATAAACATTGACGTCTATAAAGGTCAGTTCAGGCAAAATTGTGGAAGTCTTTCAAACTAGCTTGGGATTTTGCTTATGCACAATGAGAAGCTAATTTTTGAGAGGGAGAGATGCATGAGTACGATGATGGTTTTGAAAGTTTGATCCATGGTGCTGTACTTGATGATCTAGAATAGGGAAAACCAGTTCAGGGAGACCAGCGAGGAGGGTGTTGACCTGCATGAGGTTGATACAACCGTAAACTAGAGTGGCGGTAGGGAAAAGGGAAAGTATGTATGTATAAAGGAGATATTATTCTAAAAAATTAGATCTTGGTGGTTTAAGGGATTTAAATTTGAGAATTAAGTTTAGGAGGAAGTTACCTTATTTTATCAAATCTAAGAAACCAGAACTTCTGAGGTGCCACTCTTTTGTGTACCACTAAGAAAGGAAACAGTATTGCCATTTAAACCATGATACACCATCATGTCTATATACCAATTTCAGAAATGTTAAAATTTGAAAAAAAAAACATGTGTCTTAGCATTAATGAAATTTAGTAGTTCTCTGAAGATGCTGAACTTGATTTTAGACCTACTGAGTTTTAGGGTTTCTGGAACATCTAAGTACCCAGTTCTGTCCCATGTTAGTCATTTCCCTGAGTGATCTTTTCCTTGACCGTGTTCAGACATTCTCTTGAATACTGATTGGTCTTAAATCGGTGTCCTTAGTCTGGACTTCTCTCGTGACTCATCAGATTTAGATTTCTTTTCATTGGGCATAGAAGAAAAAGTATTGGTTTTGGAGCCAGACAAGTTTGACTTCAAATCCTGAATGAGTCACTTATTAATTGTATAACCTGGTATTAAGTTACATAGGAATTTTACTGTTAGTCCTACATTTCCTGTTGTTTCCATATTGTTATGAGAATTGGTTGAAATAATGTGTGCAAATAATGCCTGTGAACTCAGTCTAGGAAACCGTTGTTATATTATCATTATTTGTGTTCTTCCTCATCTCTCTATGTCTGTATAGGAATTATCACATTGATCACATTGTTTTAAACATTTTTATTAACTTGTCTTTGGTCTGAAGGCAGAGATGATCTTTGTAAGGTCTGTTGATCTTTGTATCCTCAACATTTAAGATGCTGTATAGATGCTGTGACTGAATGCACGGAGAAATGTCTGATAGCAGTGGAAGCATGTTATTGGTGCTTAGAAAGCAGTCAGAGCTGGTGAAGAAAGAGTTGAGACCTGGGGTAGAGTGTAGAGAACGAAGTAAAAGTCTGAGACTTGGAGAAGACCAGTAGCCAGGGGGCTGAAGGTAGAGAAAGAAGAATTAGAGAGGTAGGGAGAAAATGGGGTAGGGTTATAGAAGCCAACAGAGGAGAGAACTTTTATATGGAGAGGGTGGTCGCTGGTATCTAGTGATGCTGGGAAATCAGAAGAATGAGAATTGAGAGAAAACTTGGGGATATAAATTGTGGTCGGTTGGTGAGTAGTCTGGGCAGAAGCTTGGCTAAATGGGGAATTAGCCATGGGTTTAAAAAGATAGTACATATAATATGTTGACCATCCAGTGTGTGAACTGGAGTGAAAGGCAGTAGAGAAATAGTATGGCAGCTAGAGGGAACAGCTTGAGAGAGATCTGGGAGGAGACTGGAGGTGCTAGAGAGTGGTCCCAGGAGAGGGTCAGCCTTAGATAGAGGGTGGGAGGATGGAAGGGGGAGAGGTAACAAGATGAGTGACGAAATTTTAGAATTTCTAAGTCCTCATTGTTGGACCCACTCATATAAGTTTCTTTTTCTCCCTTCTTGCCCTAGCTTTGATTTGAAGTGTTGATAGGGTCCTATAACTGGATTCATTATAGAGATAGGCTTGGGACATTTTTGCAGGAGTGAGGACATGCTTTTGACACTTCATGTAGTTAGTGGTAGCTTAGAATTGACCAGCTAGTCATTGGAGGTGTCACACCCGGGTTATAATAAAGCCATGAGATTACCATGAAAGGGAGTAATCAAACAGCTGAGCACACTCAGTTCTGGGTTGATAGATTTACTGTAATTATTACTCATAAATGTTAAATTATTCATTTGGGGATAATTCAGTGGGATCTCGAGGAAGAGATTATACAAATATCTGGGAATCTTTTATCTAACTTCTAACCTTGAGAAATGATGAAATAGCAGGCTGGTTTTCTGACTTTTTAACTATATGGATAGCAAAATCCATAATATCAATACTAAGGATGCTTATGACTTCCCTATCAGCTCCTAAAAAGATAGGTTAGTTATTCTCTAAGTAAATGTTACCCAAACATACCATTATTTTCTTTTATCACATTTCTTCACTGTTAGGAAAACATGGTCTAAAATTTCAGACATCTTCCTGGACTCTTCTGGAAAGATAGTTACACTTATTTTGAAACTGTTGACCAAATTTGTTTGTTTGTTTCTTTGTTCTCCCCTGGGTGTAGCTTCTGTGTCTTTGGGACTTTACGTGAACTATGGAGAGGTTCTATTCTGGATTAGGGGCAACACAGATACTGTTTCTTTGAGTTTATTAATACTGGTTACTGGAAGGTTCAACTCTTAGAACTGCATATCCTGAGGATTTTAACCAAATTACAATAATTTTTTTCCTCCTTTAAAAAAAAAAAAAGAGGATCCAAAGGAAGGCTTAACTTACCAGTGATGGTTAGTCTTTCTGGGAAGGTGGTTTTGACTAGTTTTGTACGTACACCTGGGGAAAGGAATTAATTTTTAATGAAATTATTTTTTTCCTTAGGGTATTTGAACAATTTGCACTCAGACCGTTCCCTTAATGCTTAGTTTTATCTTAACTATGGAGGTATTTCTGCCTTGAAAGTTAGTTTTTTTTCTGTTCAGGCTGAGTTATACTTTGTTTTGTGTGTCTCAGATTTTAGACTTTGGGAAAGAGGACAGTATTGTTTCTTCATGTTTATAGCAGGGAGCATATCACAGCTTCCACTCTAGAGATTCTTTTGTTTTGTTTTGTTTTTAAGATTTTATTTATTTATTTGAGAGGGAGAGAGACAGAGAGTATGAGCAGGGGGAGGGGCAGGGGCAGAGAGTGAGTCTCAAGCAGACTCCCGGCTGAGGGCAAAGCCTGACGTGGGGCTTGATCTCAGGACCTGAGCCAAAACCAAGAGTCAGCCGCTCAACCAACTGAGCCACCCAGGCGCCCCTGAAACTTTAATATTTTTAAAACTCTTTGACATATATGTTATTTATCTTCCCAACTATAGTTGATAGTATCTTCGTGGGTAAACTAGGGGATTCACAAAGAATCCCTCCTGAGTCCTCATCTGTGGAGGCATTTTATGTCTGATACATACTTGTCTGTATGAGATGATGAGCTGCTGGAGGGCTGAGTCCAGCACCGTCCAGCACACAGAAGGCAGCTTAGGAACTGTTTTTTCTTTAAATACATAGGATGAGGGTCCCATTCAGCTCTTAGAAGTTTGCATTCTGTGATCTTTATAAGTAACTCGCCTAAAGTGAAATGGATGCCTGAGCCAGAACCAAAGTGCTGATGTGATTCACACAGCCAGTGTTCTTCTGTAGAGTCTCCTGCCTGGGTTATTTTCTGTTGCTGTTTTGTGTTTGGTGTGTTTGAGCACCAGGACTATCAAATGTGGAGAGGAGGCCTGCGGAGAGTGGAGATAATGGGGAGAGTTAGGGAAGACAGGAGCTGTCAGGAAAGCCCTTTGCCATGCCCCAGTTGCTGGAAGGGAGAAGCCACACAGCTTTCAGGGAAGTCAGGTTGGGGAGTACAAGGTGATTTGGGGTGCAGAACGGGGTCAAGAAATGCGGTGGGCAGAGAACCAAGTGTGGCTCCAAAAGGCCCGTCAGGAGTGGGCGGGTGTCTCGGCCCAGGCGGAGGAGATAGTCCAACAAAGGGTGACTAGGAACATAGCGCAGTTGAAGGAAAGCGCAAGACAATAGCGGAGCACTGCTCAGATTTTGGCACTGCGTCGCTGGCGGCAGGTCCTCCTCCATTTCTCCGCAGCCTTCCTTTCGAATAACTGGCTTGTTTCTGCCTAGCTACGGAACTTAAATGCCTAATTTTTTTTCATGTTTGTAAAATGCATCCGAAATGACAAATGTAAAGAAAAGTGTTGTTATCTGCTATGTTGTCTAATCCCAGCACCCTATGTTTTTTTGAGAGCTCTTTTCTCTACTGATAGATATAGGCGGTAAGAATATTTATGGTTTGAGTTGTTTTATTATGACTTGAATTATCTCGTGGCTCAGTTGGTTAAGCGACTGCCTTCGGCTCAGGTCGTGATCCTGGAGTCCCGGGATCGAGTCCCGCATCGGGCTCCCTGCTCGGCAGGGGGTCTGCTTCTCCCTCTGACCCTCCCCCCTCTCATGTGCTCTCTCTCTCTCATTCTCTCTCTCAAATAAATAAATAAAATCTTAAAAAACAAACAACTTAATGACTTGAATTATCTCATGATCACTTTTTTTTCTTAAATTCTTCTTAAATTTAACTTAGGTTTTGCACATGCACACGCACACACACAAATACTTGGGAGTTGTATTTTTATCCCATGAGATACTCAGATTATATTCACCATGAGAGAATTTCCACTTGTGTAAATGTTTCCCATTTTAAAGTAAAAGGTACTTTCGGGGAATCTGTATCAAGAATAGTTAGAAAAGTTCTCAAGCACTCTTGAAATAAACTTCAAAAGAAGACTTTAGACTTGTGGTAGCAATTTCATTTCCATTTTAGACTTTTAGTTACAGTCACTTGAAATCCTTGTGCCTGTGTGTTATTCCAAGCTTGATAAATTTTAGAGATGAAGAAGCTTATGTTTAGAGAAAATCAAAGGGTAGCAGCACTTTCTAAATTCGAAAGCTTGAATTCCCCCCTTTTCGGCATGGTCTTGATTAGTGGTGTGAAAGCTAGTGGAGATGCTACCAGTGGTCAGCAGCGACAGACTTCAGACCCCCACATTTTATACCTAGCAATAAGGGAACAAAGATCTCTGTTTACCAAGGGTTACACATTACTGACACTGAAAAGTGTCAATTGGAAATTTTTTTTGCTTGCCTTATGAAGTGCTTCATCTCTAGATTGGAGACATCAGGAGGGCAGGGCCCATCTGTGTCTCACCCTCTGAGGTATTCCCATGGTACCTGGTACAGACTGATTCCTCCACGTGTTTTTGACTGAATGCTTTATACTTACAGAGTACCATAGCATATATTATGTGTAGTATGATCTTTACAGTAACGCAGTGGGTGGGTTGGACACAGCGTTATTTGTAGATGAGAAAACAGATTCAGATTCAGAGACTGAGAGGCTCAGTCAGGGGCAGTGGGTGGTAGAGCCTGAGTCTCAGACGTAGGTCTTCTCACTTCAAATACAACTTTGTTTGATTTTAAACTATATCAGACTCTGTTTTTTCCCTCTGAGTCTCAGGCGACCTTACAGGGAAGGGATTAGAGAGGGCGTAAAATATGGTCTTCCCATCAGAAACCCTTATGACGGAGGTGGCAGGCAGGGCTCCTGGAGGCAGACTGCTAGGTTCTAATCACAGCTCTGTTACTGGCTGGCTGTGTGACCTTAGGTACCAAAGTTCATCCAGCCTTTCTCTGCCCCTACTTCCTTATCTGTGAAATGGACATGTAATAGTATTTCACTCAAAGGGTTATTTTGAGGAGTGAATCAAAGGAATTAATAAGGTTTGTTAAATGAGAAATAAATATGAAGAATATGTATGATTACCATGAACTAATAGAACTCAGGAAGTTATAAACTGTATCACTTAAGCACAGCAGAGGTTGAACATGACTAGGTTTCATTTTGCTTTTTTTTCTGAATTGCCTTACCCTTTTGCAAGTTAAATAGACCCACCCCAGCCCCCATTTGTCAGCTGCATTTATTGTCATCTTCTGGAGTCATTCCCTTTACCTGGCTTTGTTCAAAAAATGTTTTTAATTAATTTTTTTTTTCTTTTTTGAGAGAGAGCGTGTGCAAGCAGGGGGGAGGGAGGGGCAGAGGTAGAGGGAGAGAGAGAATCCTAAGCAGGCTCCATGCCCAGCGAGGAGCCTGACATGGGGCTCAATCTCACGACCCTGAGATCATGACCTGAGCCAAAATCAAGAGTCAGACACTTAACCAACTGAGCCACTCAGGCACCCCTAAAAATTTTTTTTAAACCCACATTTTTGAAGAAATATGCAGTGATGAATTACTTACCCCCTTTCCCTAAGAACCTAATTATAGCTCACACTTTCCCCTATTTAAATGACATAGACAAGATGTATATGTACTGTGAGAATTCAGCATTTATTTATAGTCTATAAACTTGCTTAGTTCTCTTATTATTGTGTGTTTTTTAGTATATGTTTTATAATAATTCTGATAATTTTTTTTAGAGCTTACTATGTGCTTTGAAACATCATCTCATTTAATCCTTCCAACAAGAAAAACACCCATGTCTAGGTATTGCCCTCTTGGAGAGACTGAAGTTCAGAGAAGATGACTTCCCCAAAGTGATTCGCCTGGTTAGAGGTGTAGCCACTATTTGAACTCTGACTCTGAAGCTCAAGCTCTTCACATCTACTTTATGCTGCCTCCTGTCTCTCCATGGAGAGTGTCAGTTAGAACGTTGGCACCTAGAGGACAGGCTCCAGATCTGTGAAGCAAGCTTTGCATAGAGGACTTCAGAGTTCCAGAAACAACTGACACTTAATAAATCTAGTGTGGGAGAGTGGAGAGGGTTTAATTATAACCATAATACTGATTTTGAATGACAGGCTGAATTTTCATTTTTAAAAATGCTCAGGTGAAGTGCAAATATACCTTCTTTTACACATGTTACTGTTTTTTTAGCTAGATGATGATCAAGCTAGATTAACTGCTTCAGCATGTCTGTGTATGGTCCATGTCCAGCAGCTCTGCTGTATTGGAATGCGTCTTCTGTTCTTTTATCAGATATCTGGTCTGTCTGCTTTGCTTTTATATGTTGCCCTCAGTCCAAATGGCAGATACATGTCATCTTCTATGCCAGTTTTGTCCAGTAGATATTAAATTAAGCTACTAATTGAACTCAGAGCTGATTTGTTTGTCCTAGTACATTTTTTTTTCTAGTATTACCAACTTTTTCTTAGTAGCATTACTCTTAGGCACTCTGTGGCTTTGGTGGTGTCATTAAATGTAAACTGTGGGTGGTATCTTAATCCTCATAGACATTTCACATCTTCTATCTCCACAGACTTGTCTCTGCCATTTTTAAATGAAATGCACATAGTAGAATCAAATAGAATGCTAGAATTTTGTCTTTTTGCCTACAATATAGAATAATTTACCAAGTAACCATTGCCCTTGCTTTTTCTGTTTTTAATTGTAGTCCCAGAAGAAAATATTGCAACCATGAAGTATGGAGCCCAGGTTGTGAAAGGGGAGCTGAAGTCCGCCTTGTTAGATGGCGATACTCAAAATTACGATTTGGATCATGGATTTTCTAGGCACCCAATTGATGATGACTGCCGTTCTGGCATTGAGATTAAGCTAGGTCAGCCATCTATCATCAATCACATACGGATACTCCTGTGGGACCGAGATAGCCGGTGAGTGATTAGCATGACTTGGACAGAAAATGACATTATGTTTGATTGAGTCAGCCTAATTTTGGTTTTACAAATTTGGTGGTTTATTTCCTTGGGATTGTTTCACTATTTCTCTTGAAGTTTAGTTCTGGGGGAAGAGTTAAAGGCTATATTCCTTTTAAAGAAATGTTTTTTGCTTTTTTTCTGCTTATAAAAGTAATGAATATGTGTTTATCATGGAAAACATAGAAAATACAGAAAAGCACCAAGAAGAAAGTAGAAATTGTTAGTAATCTCACTGGCCATTAATAATCTTTGTATATATCAATATCAAGTATATATGTCTAACTAGTATATCTCTATATAACTTTGTATATATTTAACTAGTCACACACACATACACATACACAAAACAGAAACCTGTAAAACCACACATAGTTTTACAAAATAAAAATGAAATGTGTAAAGGTTAACTTCACTTTGTAATTAATACACTGTGAACATTCTACTCTTTAAAATAGTCCTCTAAAATACTACTGTTAATGGTTGTTTGGTATTCCACCTTCTGGGTTACCATTATTTATTTACTTGATTCTTTACTTTTGAATATTATAACTTTTTAAATGCATTTTATACTATGATTGAAGAAAAAAATTGTCTTTTAGTGTGTGGATAAATCATCATCCTCACAACAAAGGAAGTTTGTGAAAAATATTTGGTGGGCTCCAGCCTTGAAACTACCCAGTTTTGTAGCAGCTTCAAGATTCTGCCTTCCCTGATGCACCTCTGACACTTTCACCCACCGTAGTTTCTGGGTTTCATCCGTGATGCTCAGAAGTACCAGAGCAGCTGGGTGACCAAGAACTGTCTCTCTCATCACTGCCCATCATTAACCTGAACCCTACATACACAGAAAGTGGTATAGAGTCTCTTAGGCCCCACTCAGGCCTCTTTGAGTCTGCTCATGGAGGACATAGTAGTAATGGTGATGATACCTTTGCATGGTGATTCATTTCTCTTGGCACCACAGGCCACCACTTGGGCCTTTGAGGCCATTTGAACCAAGTATGAGGGAAACTTCACAAAGTGGGAGTCGGCATTTCCCATAGAGATGAGTGTTCGAGGTGCCCAGGTTATCTTTATCTGTTTCTCCTTTATTAAGAATATATTTCCTAGGGGCACCTGGGTGGCTCGGTCGGTTAAGCGTCTGCCTTCGGCTCAGGTCATGATCCCAGGTTCCTGGGATCGAGCCCTATGTCGGGCTCCCTGCTCAGCGGGGAGTCTGCTTCTCCCTCTCCCTCTGCCTCTCTTCCCGGTTTGTGCTCTCTCAAATAAATAAATAAAATCTTAGGAAAAAAAAAAAATGTATTTCCTGATATGTTTCTTGTTGGATATAATATGAAGTTTAGTTGGCAAAATGGAGCTAATTCACATATCATTTCCAAAAGTCTCTGGATTAATAACAGTGTAACAATAATACTTATATAGCACTTTCATTACTTTTATGTGGTGGGTTCTGTTCTCAAAGCTTTACATATATTCACTCATTTAATTAATACTGAAATTAGCATAAAGATAATAAAAGAAAAGGTTAGTATGTTTGAGACTGAAAGTAGTTATCATTTCCATGATGTTAAATACTTACAGGCCACTTTGTTTTAGTGCGTGCATTACATTCATAGGGGACTTAACTTGACCACGTAGCAATTCTTTTCTCACAGAAGTTATCATTCTAAGCAAAGGTGAAAAATTCGGAATCTTAAGCCCAAAATATTCTGACATGTGTTGTAAAATTATATCCTGCATTACTGATAACCCAGAGAGGTTCAATAAAAGGTTATAACCAGTTTGAGACTGAGCGATAAAATGAATGGGAGTGAGGGGACAGCAGAAAATGACGGGATGACACAAAATAAGCTGACCTTTTCTGGTCACAACTGTTGGTTGCAGGCTGACATTTATGGTCACCTAAATCTTCTAAGATTGTTCCTGTTGATATTACAGTACAAGTAATAACTGCATCTCAAATTTAAATTTGGCTTATGACAGGGGAATATAGATTTGTTCAGTATGGGACCAGCATCTAATGGTCCAGGGTAGCTGACTAGGGGAGGATGATAGGCTATTTTCATTACTGCCAGATTATTAGCTGCCAAATTCTATGTTGTACCCAAAAGAAACACGCATTATCTCTTCACCCATGTCATTTATTTTTCTTCAGGCTGCATATTTGTGTGGGATGGTGGGAGACTGGGAGAGAGCAGGAGATAAGCTGGCCTTTCCGGGGAACCATTCTGAGTTGGCTGTCCTGAGAGAACAGGGCTGAGCACCCAGACTAGGGAAGGTAGAATAAGTCACACCTCAGACTTCTCAATTTTCTGTCCTCTCTCTGTCATGGCTTGAATCTGCTAGTACAGCAGAAGCAAGGCATCCTGGCTCTGTTTGAAAAGGAACAAATATCTTGCATGTCGGATATGTGCCAAACAGGGTGCTAGGCCCTGAATAGATGAAGATAACTATGGCATGCTCCTTGTTCTTAAGCAGCTTGTGATCTAATAAGGCATACAAACATGCAGAGAGGTCATTTCAGTACATTGTGGGGCATGCTGTGATAGCAGGATCTATACAGATTTTATTAGTATCAGCATTTGATTGTTATGCAGAAAGTGCTGATAATAATTTGATTGCTATGGAGAAAATGTAATTAGCGAACAGTGTAGTTTTTTGTATCTTTTAACATTTTATTAAAGTATAACTTGGTTTTGTTATTTTAATATGGTGCTTTTTTCTCTGTTTTTCCTTTTGATTCATAGGTCTTATTCATACTTCATTGAAGTATCAATGGATGAACTTGATTGGATCAGAGTGATTGATCATTCACAGTATCTGTGTCGTTCTTGGCAAAAGTTGTATTTTCCAGCCCGTGTCTGCAGGTTAGTTCTCCTGGCTAATTAATGATTTTGATGTTTATTTAAGGAGATGTGAACCTTGAGAAACGGGCTACATTTTTTTTGTCTCAAAGAAGAAGACTTTTTCAGGATATCAGCTACCAGATGCATGCATCCCAACTAAAAAACTTAGGGAAAATATGGAAAATGAAGCATCTTAATTCTAGAGTATACTGTGGAACTGTTTATCCACAGTGTTTTGTGCCATACTTATGCAGAAGACATGCAGTGAACAAGAAGGGACAGAGAACACAGGAGAAGTGGAGATGCTCTTTAAGCTCCATGCTAGACACTGGAAGCAGAGTGATTGTTAGGGGCTGCGTTCTTCCCACAAAAGCCACGGGAGATATTTCTGGAGGCTTCCCCAGTAGTCCTCAGGGCCAGGAGGAGATTTTTGGATGTTAGTGTGCACGTTCTGAATATCTGTGTTCTTTTCCTAGGTCAGTGCTTATCAGCAGAGTTTGACAGAACAAGTGTGTCTAGTGGGTTGGGTTTGGAGCAGGGGAGGTTGAGCTGGTGGGGCTCCAGGCTCACAGCCTCCCTTCAGCCAGAGCACTTTAGCTTTTATTGTTTTTATGCATTGTAGCCCCATGGAAGGTTGTTTTTAAAAAGTGTTGATGAGCTACTGTTCTGATATTTCATACTGTTCCTTTAGGTTTAAGCCATCTTTTAAACTTTCTGAAATTCTATAAAACTCGTACAATTAATGAATTTGAGAGTTGGGAAAGGTAGACAGAGGCCCCCGAAATTCTGCTGTTTTTTTTTTTTTTTCTGTTGTAATTTTCCCCTTGGAAATTGCCCTCAGGTATTCCTTACCTTAAAGTCAAAAGATCAAAGGCAGAAAATGATTGGTTCATTTAGTCCGGTGTGGCAAGAGGTGAAGGAAAGGTGTATGGTGGGTGTAAACCAGGGACAATGTGGATCTGGCCTCTTACCCCCTTCTGTCCCCACCCTCATCCATAACCCCAGCTGACCTCCCACTGTGGCTGATTTGGAACAGGTGGGGATGCCCCATAGCACTTACTCTCTCGGTCAGAAGACACCCTTATACCTAGTAAACTTATGATCTAACAGCATCAGGCTGAATTCTTACCTCCACCAAAGGAACTCCATAAAACCTTTCAGCGTTCTGGTACAATAAAGAATGTTGCCTACATTTTTTTTTTATTATTATTATTATGGGTATGACTGGACACAATATTGTTACCCAGGGATCCTCTTGTGTGAAAATGAAGCAAATCAATTTCATTTCCCCAAAGAGAGACTGAAGTGTTGCAGGTCTGGCAGTTGCTCTTTTATCAGAGGAGTTTTGAATGGATTAAAATGAGAGGGACAAGAAATTGAGTGAAGGTTTTGTATCTCAGAGCTGCCTAGGGATATTTTGAGAGTGACAGGGGGGCCCCAACTTGGAGGAGGAGATTGAGTCTGCATTGACTCAGGTTATTATGGTTGTATTGGATTAAAAAATAAGCAGCATAGCAACCAAAGCATCTGATGTGGACTGAAGGACTGTGTGTTTGCATTTAATTTGAAACAAGAGGAACATGACTCCCAGAACAAATCATCATGAATAGAATACTAGCCATGACAGAGTCTGTGAGCTCTACCCACTTGAAAACTCCTGCCGCACGGAGAGGGAGATGTGTGCCCTCGGTCATGATCTCTGGCTTTTACAAAATATACTTCCCCTTCCTTATTAATGGGCATTATTTATTTATACTCCCATTTGTTATTTTGTTTCTTCTGTGTGGCCTTGCTTTTGTTGATGTAACTTTTATGGGTTACAGAGATTGGCTGTGCTCATAATGCTGGTTTTTATCTTGGTACAGCCAGTCCCCAACTGTGGTCAAGAAGAATTGAGCAAAGGTGATGCTAGAGATAGTGACAACAGGAAAAGGAAAGAGTCTTGATATCCATATTACTTAAGAAATAAAATTGAAAAGATTTATAACCATATTAACATATATTACTACATTCCTTTATAAACTCTGCCTTTTGTAATAGGTTGGGATTTGGGTAATATTTAAAAATGAACCTAAGAAAAGTCTCCGTTGATTATCCAAGGGTGTCTTATACTTGGTGTTTCTTTTCTTTTCTTTTCGTAAGATTGATTGATTGATTGATTGATTAGCGAGAGAGAGAGAGAGAGAGAGAGAGAGAGATCGGGGGGAGGGGCAAAGGGAGAGGGAGAGAAAGTCTCAAGCCGACTCCGTGCTGAGCACAAAGCCCAATACAAGGCTGGATCCCATGACCCTGAGATCATGACCTGAGCCGAAACCAGGAGTTGGTCACCCAACTGACCACCCAGGAGCCCCTATACTTGGTGTTTCTTATCTTCACAATCATTTATTGACTATCTAAATAATGTTCTAAATACACATTTTCCAGGGACTTCACCGGGCACATATAAATTCTTTCACTTTGCCTTATTTAGTTAAGTTGCACATTTGTATGCCACCTTTGTTTTTCAGTATCCTTTGAGTATTTGTCTTGCCTCTGATACTAAAATTAAAACTTCTTGGAAGTAAGGAGTATGGATTGTGATCTTTTAGTATTCTTGCGTGATACTCAGGCTATGATCTAGTATGCAGTAAGTACTCTAAATGTTAGCACAGGTTTCATGGGGTCAAGGCACTAACTGTATAATGAGGAGAGATGGATTCAGCATTAATATGTATATATATTCATTGGTACTTTTTATCCATGTATTTGTTAAAATGTGTATCACTGCTAGAAAGGTCTCGGTACGTGGTTTACAAATGTAACTTTCTATATTTTCATGAGGAAACTGAATTTTGATGTTAATCCTGAAAGATATGAGTATCATGTATTGAGGAAAGATTACATCAAATATATTCACAAAAGAAGAGAGACACTGTGAGTTGGGGAGTGTGAGATTACCTACCTCTCTCTGAGTCTTGGCTGGATTGCATGTAAATTAGCACTGTGTAGTAAAAAAAACAAAAACAAACAAAAAAACATGGGCTATGGAGTTAGATAGAACTCTTCTCACTCTCTGATTTCATCAAATCCTGGCCTGGTGATCTTAGTAAAGTTGTGCCTCTCCAAGCCCTTGCTTCTATACCAGTAAAAAACAGGAATAACAACACCATTTATGAGTCTGCTGTGGAGGGTTTAGATGACATAGCATGTGTGCAAACATGGACTACAGGGCCTGGCCCAAAGTAGAGGCTCAGTCACTAGTGGCTTTTGTTTGTTTGTTTGTTTTTATTATTTTAAAATTGTTTTTATTTTTTTTTTCCCTAAATTTTGAGACTCTCAACTGGTGTTTGACCTTCAGAGAAAAAGAGCCATTTTTGCCATCCTCTCTGGCCGTGGTGGTACTCACTGTGAGGAAATTGTTCCTGACCTCAGGAGCCTAGTCTCCCCGACACGTTTCCAGATTGCCAGTCCATACACAGCAGTCCAAAACATGCCTTAAACGGTTTGCTCCATCTTTATAACCTGCCCAGTGGTGTGTTCCCAACAGTTTTAATGTATTTTCATTTTGGTAAAGCATTTTTTTTTATTGTAGCAAAATATATATGGCATACAGTTTGCCATTTATATATCTGTGGGATGCAATTCAGTCCGCTCTTCACCTCACTAAGTAGTGGACATTATCTAGTGGCAATAGATAGGATAACGTCAGGCTTCAAAGCCAGAGTGATTGCTCCAACTGTAATGGTGAACAGACAGAAATGATCTGCTCTGTCCTCCTGGGTCCTGTTTAGGAATGCGTTGTAGGTTAAGTGGGGACTGCTCTGTGTGGCCAAAAGCCTAGACTAATAACTCCCCCCGCTCAGCTCCTTCCTGGGGATGAAGAAAAGGGACTTGTCCATGTTATTAGTATGGTCTTTCATATGCTCTCAGAACCGTGTTCTGTCTCACCAGCTTTCTCTTTCTCAGGAAAAGACCATTTCTGCTTCAGCTTTACATTGTCTTCTTGGCTATGTAGGAAGCTCTCTTCAAGCCCTTCCACGGCTTTCCTGGATGCCAGAGCCCAGGGCTGAACAAAAAATACTAATAAGGAGTGGCAAATATGGAGTGCCCTGAGGTGTATTAAAACACTTTCTGGCTGTTTCTCAACAGGGTGCTGGTAATTTGGCAGCCATATAATGTTGCCGAAATAGGAGAAGACTTGAAAACGTGGGTGTGAGAGGTAGAGGTGGATTTCAGAGCCTGCAGGTGGCTGGTAGCTGGAATCACAAAAGTATTTCTGGGGCAAAACCCAGGAGTTGAGGGAAGGAATAGCACCCGAAAGCGCAGCCTGTTGAGAGAGGGAAGAAAAGAGTAGACAGCAAACGCCTTTGCTGCAGGGGCTGGGCAGAGACAGGAGAGCAGACTCCGAAGGGGCAGTTACTAAAGAGAGGCCAGAGAAGGCCCTGGAGGGATGGCCACAGTTCAAGCAAGACCGGGCTTCTGCCTTTCATTTTGTTTTTAAGTACCACAATGGAAATGTCTTGTTCATGACATTATTATCAAATTATAATGTAGGACATATTTTAAATATCAGTAAAGCTTGTCCTCTGGTAAAGTTGTATCCAGTTTCTACCAATAGCACATGAAAATGCTCTGTCTCTGAGCCCTTAACCACTGCAGGCTTGTCAACACTGCCAATGTGAGCTATGATTTGTTAAAAAAAAAAAAAAATCTTAATTTAGATTTCTTTTATCATCAGTGAGGTACAGTATTATTTAATAATGGCCATTTGTTCTTTCTCATTTATGAAAAGCCTATTTTTATCTTCTGCATATTTTTATTCTGAGGCAGTTATCTTTTTCTGTCTTATCAGAACTTTATTTTGATATACTGATATATATATATACCATCTTTTTGCCTGTCATGTATTGTGCAACTTGTTTTTAGTTTTTACTGTTTTACTGGTACTTTTTGCCATATAGAATTTTACTTTTTGAAAAATGTAGTCCAGTCTCTTAATTTTTTTTTTTTTTTGATCTCTGGTGGTTTGCAATCATGTTTAG